GTGTGTGTGGAGAGAGAGAGAGAGAGAGAGAGAGAGAGAGAGAGAGAGAGAGAGAGAGAGAGAGAGAGAGAGAGAGAGAGAGAGAGAGAGATGAACCACAATGTGCATGACCTTAAATGCCCAGCCACAGAGGCCCAACTCCATGGAAGACAATGGAGGGCACAGCAGAAAAATGAGCGTGGGCAAGTTTCTGATATACCCCGGTAACACCCTTCCAAGGGCCTTAGCACGGCCTCGACTGCCAGCAACGGCCACAAGGGCATACTGAACAAATGGTAAGTACAGACAGGGGTATCTTGGAAATTCTTGTGCCTGTACCCAACGGCTTTCCGGTAGGGGCATACTGGAAATTTGGCACCCATACCGATAGGGGCATATTGAATATATTTTAGGCCCAAACGACTCCAGGTTTTTTTTGGAAACTTGAATCGTTGTCAGAGGGGCAAATCAGGGTAAGTCGGCCGTTGGAGGGGCAAAATGCAAGTAAACGCAAACTTCAGGGGCATTTCGATAATATTTCCTTTATTTTTTTAATATATATCTATTTTTTAAAGGGTGATGCCTTTGAGGTATCATCATTGAGTTGCCCTAGAACCATCATCTGGCATTTGGATTCGAACTCTGATCTGCATTTCAACAGTTCATGGGTGTGGTCCCCACTGCGCTGGCTCTTGGATTCGCGACAAAATTTTCGGCCGGTAGCTCAATTGGTAAGGCTTGAAAGTGGCATTCAGGCGGTCATGGGTTCAATCCTCACTGCCTTATTGACCTTCCTGGGCATGCCTGGCGCCCGCCATCCAGAGATAGAGACCACTAGATCCCCAGATCGGATGGGCATTGATCTGAGTCTGTTGCTGTTCATAGGAGAGGGGACATGAGGGGAGGCATAGGGATTTGTCCTGTTGGCATGGTCCCTGATGCTACCGGCTGTCCCCTGACCGGTATCGCCCACCAGCACGTCTTGCATGTTCTCTCATGAACACAGTGTTGGTTGCTCCGGGTTATGACTATAATTAGGAGTAGTGGTCGTAGGTAGGTAGAGTGAGGTGAAATTGGGATAAGAATGTAGCTTGGACGAAGATGCCTCGCCTTCCCACTGGAACATTATTCTTCTTTTGAGGGACACCGGGCCCGGTTCCAGGCACGCAGGAGGTGTCCTTTTGTGAAGCAAGCAGCCTAGCTCAGTTGTTCAGACACCCAAGTGGCATTCAGGAGGTTGTGAGTTCAATGCCCACTGACCGCCCATGCAAAATTGAGATAGTTCAAGTTAGCTCGCTCGCGCCGATCTGTATTGTCGGGTCTTTGGCCATCACGGGTGTGTGTGTTTGTTTGTGTTTGGGTGTGGGGTTGTTATTCCTGCAAGGGGGGCAGGTGTTGTACACCGGAAATGCTTGGTCTTTGCATTAGCCGCCCCCCCCCCAACCGGCGGCCCGACCGTACTTCCTGACCACTGCCGATTAGGGCGGGGGGGCAACAGGCATCCCCTTGAATGTAAGAGGTAGTTATGCTTGCAAGGGTCCCCTGTATAGGCTTAGGAGTAGTGGCAGGTAGGTAGTGAGAGGTGAATTTGAGGGGAAAATATAGCTTAGCTTTTCAACAAAAAAAAGGTTACGGTGTCCGTTCGTAGGTAGTAGTGAGAAGTGAACTTGAGGCTGGGACCCCATAGTGGAAAGCCTAGCGAAATTCCCAGGCGCCTACTGTTTTTCGGCAACTCCATGTGCCTTTTTTTCCGGCCTGGAAAGTTGCCAGAAGCCATTTTCACATAACCCGCAACCCATTTCCCCCCTTCAGGTGCTTCAGAATTCCTCTGGCGGCAGGCGTTCGTGAGGGTACGGGCTGGGGGGCACCCCTTCCGATGTTAACGGAGTTTGCCTCTCGGTTGGGTCAAATGGGGTAGACCAGGACAATCCACTGAAAAGGCCCAGCTTGTCATCCACAACTCTTGGAATGACAGGACCCTCGTCCCTGTGGTCCGCACCCGCACGTACAGTCAGTTGACAAACTGAAATTTTGGATTGCCCTCCCTCGCCTTCCAAACCCTTCGTTAAAAAAACAACGAAAAAATTCTCCGATGGTGCACGTGCACGTGTGGTGAGGGTGAAGGTAAACGGGCGTCGTCATTCATTGTCTTCCATAACAAAGATGACAAGTGCAGAACACTAGGGTCATGCACAAAGCTTGCAAATCCCATAAAAAACGCCGAGAATCCTGCAATTACAGTCGTTGATGATCTGTGCAACGATGGAAAATTGTTTTGTCCAATCATAGACGCATTATCATAGCAGCTCGCCGCTTGGCTTCTCCATGTACAGGTGTGTGCAATTGATCGCCTTCACACAGCCAGGGAATCCCTGCCTCTAGGATATGTTCATCGTCTGCTCCAGTTGCCTACCTTCGGGAAAGCCTATGAGATTACCATTCTCCCTGATGATGGCATCGGCCAAATCCTCATTGCTCCACGGAGCACAGGCAACTTGAAGCCCTATGAACATCCATGTCTCATTTGCCCATAAAATTAACCGATTGCCCAATGGATTCGGTCACATGTAAACTTTTGCTGGATATATGGAGGTTGTCTCTAACATGTTACCTTCCGCTAGATGTATGAAGCGATTCTTTGTGCTACCTCGTGAAATACATGTCGAGGGAATTGGTAGATCAGGTGGACACCTAGTCTTATTTAGGCCCCGCCCTTTGAAGGTCCTTTCACGCTCTACCATTGAACGACCCTTCTAAAAACGTTCATCAAATGCGGTCATCGCCGCATACGTCATTCCATTTCAGGGGAGGACATAGGCAAAACAAAAGTCGCCTCTAGGACGGACACAACAGTCATGTTCCTTTAGTTCATCCGCCGGATGATGACGAACACAACCATGAAGAGCAATTCCTCCCAATCACCAGCCATACCTTGCATGTCAATCTCAGTATACAGTGTCTGCTCGAGGCAGTTACTGTCCATAGCTCCTTATAGGAAGACCTCATCACTGTTAGCCCCTCCTCCACAACTTCTTGTCGTCCCACCAACGCGTTATAAAGGGGACTCCAATAAGAAAAAAAAAAACAAAGATCCACGCGAAATATGGTAACTGCATGGAAGAATCGACTCTCAAATACGTGGCAAGTAGTTGCTTACGATGGCAAATACATCCGCTATGATGGATATGGCAAGTTTGCTCTTCAATGTGCAAATAAGAAGAAGCACATAAGAGAGTGTGGACACAAGTGAATGCGCAAGGGAACTTGAAGGAGTGACTCCAATGATCGTTTAGGTGTACTTTGACCTCGCTTCAGGGGGAAAAATCGTCCTTATAGTATGTCACCCATAATTTTTGGGCGAACATCAGTGAGGTTCGTAGCCTAGTCCAACATTTTTCGAGATGACCTATAACACATTCTCGTATAGGAAAACTATGGACACCACTTACCGTTTCAAGAACTCGTACGCATCGAAGGCGCCTTTTTTAGTAGGCATGGTGGAATCCCGGAAAGCGTCCCCTTTCTGAATGCGATAGCCCTTTTATACCAGCAGGTGAGTTGGTCATTTCCAAGGCGCTCCACTGCAGGGTCCACCCCCTAACTCAGTTGGTACACCCTTGAACAATTGAACCCGAGCTCGAACTCCATTCAAGCAGATCAGTAAAGCACTACATTCACAAGGTGTCCACCCGTAGGTAGCTAGTGAGAGATAACGGTTCGATAATGATATCTCAAGGTTGCCGCCATTTTTTAAAAAAATAAAAAATGAGAGAAGAATATAGTTTTGCTTCAAACCATTACTACCTCTCACGTTGTTGGGAAAAATGAGAATATAACCTGTATTGTATTCTTCAGCGGTTGGGCCCACCAACGACCATCATTAATTTTATCGCACATACTATTTCATTTTTATCCTCAAACTAGTATCATACCCACCTCAAAGTGCCAGTTCTTGGACAGTCGTTAATGTTTAACCACAGTTGGAGTTAAGGAAGATTATCACTAACAATATAATCAATTAGGGGACTTTGCATACCGTAAAGGGTTCAAGGTCATGATGAATCGGTGAAACTCCAATGAGACAGTTTGTCGCAACTTCTCGTTTGTTATCCTCTTCTTCGTTTCTGCCAACGGTTTGTCGAACAGTTATGTTGGATTATATATATATATATATATATATATATATATATATATATATACACATTGTCACATAACTATTGACTAAGAGTGCAAACACGTGAAGTAGAAAAAAAATCAGATGAGCGAAGAAAAAAAAATGAAAGGACAGAAGAGCAAAGAGACAAACAAACCAGAAAGACACAAAACAGTGTCTTCTTGTTCTTTATTTTAGTGTATTTTTATTTCTTTCAGTGTTTTATAATTTTTTTACACTGAACAAAGGATAAAAGTCAAAAATAAAAACACATTGAAATCATTCAATTTCTTGGTTTTCTTAACTCCTCCTCCACTACGCCTCTCACGTACAAGGCTGGCCACGTTGATGAAGTTGAGCGGGAGTTGGCCCCATTCCTGTATGCCATAACAACACACTTGCACTATGTGGGGAAGAGACAAAGTAAAGAGAGAGGTGTTATATTGTCAAACTAACCTAAGCACTAAACGAAAACAAATTTCTCTTCACATCAAGCACCTCTTATCTTTGTCGGATCCCTTTCTTTTCCACCCTTGCAGCCTTATTCCCCCATTTCATGACGCGTTTTTCCCCCAGCCTCGCCTGTGGGGGCAAGGTGGCAAGGAAGGGGGGAAAGGCGACAAGGGTTAAGGGGTAAGGTGACAATGGTTGGGAGGAAAGCAACACAGGGAGGGGGATGGAGCTGCGGGGTTGGAGGGAGAAAACGGCATCGAGGGGGAGCCGGGCTAGCGGACGCTTGGCCGAGCGGTAAAACAAGGCCCGTCGAGCGCGATTTTTCTAGCGCGCTACCGGGCTATTCCGATCCTTGGGGGGGGGGGGGGG